GAGGGATACAGAAAAAGAGAGAATAAAAATGATAATGTAATTGTGATAAATGTCAATAACTGGTGAACCTGGGTAAATAAAAAGCCTCTGGATCTCTTTATAATCACTTTTCTGTAAGTCTGAAATCATGCCAAAATAAAAAGTATTCAATGTAGCCACTTTGAAAAACAGTATAGAGACTCCTCAAAAAGTTAAAAATTGAACTACCATGTGACCCAGCAAATTCACTTCTGGGTGTTTATCTGAAGAAAACGAAAGCACTAATTAGAACAGATATATGCACCCCCACCTTCATTGCTAAATTAAATCATTTATTTCATTTCTAAATGAAATTTAGAATATATCCTTCATAACTAAAGGAAATCAGTCCTGAATTTTCATTGGAAGGACTGATGCTGAAATTGAAGCTCCAATACTTCGGCCACCTGATGCGAAGAACTGACTGCTTGGGAAAGACCGTGATGCTGGGAAAGATTGAAGGCAGGAGGAGAAGGGGATGACAGAGGATGAGATGGTTGGATGGCATCACCGACTCGATGGACACGAGTTTGAGCAAGCTCCAGGAGTTGGTGATAGACAGGGAAGCCTGGTGTGCTGCAGTTCATGGGGTCACAAAGAGTTGGACATGACTGAGTAACTGAACTGAACTGAAACTTCATTGCAGCATTTTTACAATAGCCAAGACATGGAAGCAACCTAGATGAATGGATAAAGAAGATACAGTGTATATATACATAATGGAATACTACTCAATCATAAAAAGAATGAAATCTTGCCGTTTTCAACAACATAAAGGTATTATGAAGGACAAATACTGTGTGATTTCATTTATATATAGAATCTTAAATAAATGAACAAACATAAAACAGAAGCAGAGTCAAGATGCAGAGAACAAGCAGGTGATTGCCAGAGGGGAGGTGGGTGGGAGGGGCAAGACAAAAATAGGTAAGGGAGATTAAGAACTACAAACTTCCAACTGCAAAATAAATGAGTCATGGGTATAAAATGTACAGTCAATAGTCAATAACTATGTGATATCTTTGTATGGTAACATATCCTGTAACTAGACTCACTGTGGTGATCAGTTTGAAACATAAGTAACCAGTCACTATATTGTGTAACAGGAACTAACAGTGTTGTAGGTCAATTACATTTCAAAAACAAACTCATAGAAAATGAGATTATTCTTCAGTAAGTGGTGCTGGGAAAACTGGACAGCTACATGCAAAAGAATGAAAGTAGAACATTCTCTAACACCACATACAAAAATAAAGTCAATGTGGATTAAAGACCTAAATGTAAGACCAGAAACCATAAAACTCCTAGAGGAAAACATAGGCAGAACACTCTGGCATAAGTCATAGCAATAGTTTTTTGGGTCTGTCTCCTAAAGCAAAGGAAATAAAAACAAAAATAAACAAATGGAATCTAATTAAACCTGAAAGCTTTTGCACAGCAAATGAAATCATCAGCAAAACAAAAAAACCTACTGAAAGGGAGATAAAGTTTGTAAATGATATGATCAATAAAAGGTTAATATCCAAAACACATAAACAGCTCATATAATTCAACATCAAGAAAAGACCACACGATCTGAGTAAAAAATGGACAGAAGACCTGAAAAGACATTTTTCTAAAGAGGACATTCAGGTGGCCAATAGGCACATGAAAAGATGCTTGACATCATTAACCAGCAGAAAAATGCAAATTAAAACCACAATGGATATCATCTCACATCTGTCAGAATGGCTATCATAAAAAAAAATATCAAATGTTGGCAAGCATGCGGAGAAAAAGGAACCCTCATACACTGCTGATGGAAATGGAAATTGGTGCAGCTGCTATGGAAAACAGTATGAAGGTTTCTCAAAAATTAAAAATAGAACCACCATATGAACCAGCAATTCCACTCCTGGGTATACATCCAAAAAGAAAAAAAAGAAAATATTAATTCAAAAAGATATATGTATCCCAATGCTCATAGCAGTGTTATTTACAACGGCCAAGATATGGAAGGAATTCATCCATCAACAGACAAATGCATTAAGAAGACATAATACACACACACACACATATGAATACTACTCAGCCATAAAAAGGAATGAAATTTTGCCATTTCCAACAATATAGATGGACCTGGAGGGTATTATGCCAAGTGAAATAAGTTAGCCAGAGAAAGACAAACACCATATATCACCTATATGTGGAATCTAAAAAATAAAACAAACTAGTGAACATAATAGAGAAGAAACAGCCTTACAGATATAGAGAACAAATTGGTGGTTACCAGTGGGGAGAGGGAAGCGGGATGGAGGATTAAGAGGTAAAAACCATTATGTACAAAGTAAAAAAGCTACAAGGATATATCATACAACATGGGGAATACAGTCAATATTTTATAACAACTTCAAATGGAGTATAACCCTTAAATTGTGAGTCACTACGTTGTCCAACATGTAACTTGTATAATATACACCAACTATGCTTCAATTTAAAAAAGGTCACATTTGTGGTTATCAGAGGCAGGGTATGGGGTATTGGATGAAGGCAATCAAAATGTACATGCTTCTTGGAGGGAATATAAGTTGGTGCAGCCACTGTGCAGTTTTGAGCCAGGATGGAGGTTCTCCAAAAAACTAAAAATCTAATTACCATATGATCCAGCAATCCCACTCCTGGGCATACATCCGGACAAAACTATAATTCAAAAAGACACAGGCACCCCTGTGTTCACAGTAGCCAAGACATGGAGACAACCTGAATGTCCGCTGACAGATGAATGGATGAAGAAGACGTGGTGCATATGCAATGGAGTACTATTCAGCCATAAAAAAAAACCAAAATAATGTCATTTACCGCCACAAGGATGCAACCAGAGATTACCGTACTAAGTGAAGTAAGTCGAAAAGAGAGAGACAAATACCAGATGATATCACTTATACGTTGTGTCTAAAACATGACACAAACGAGCCTATCTATGAAACAGACATGACTTAGAAACTGAACAACAATCACGACAAAACAGAAGCAGAATCATGGACACAGAGAATAAGGACAGATCTGTGGTTGTCAAGGGGGAGGGGGTTGGAAGAGGGATGGAGTGGGACCTTGGGGTTAGCAGAGATACGTTTTTATATAACAGATGGATAAACAATAAGGTCCTACTGATATATGATTAGTGATAACAATATGTCACTATGTTACATATTCACTATCCTATGATAAACCATAAAGGGAAAGGGCATAAGGAAAAGAATGTATATATAACTGAATCACTTTTCTGTACAGCAGTAATTAACAACATTGTGAATCAACTATACTTCAATAAAACATTTTTTAAAAGGTACGAACTTCCAGTTATAAGATAAAGAGGTACTAGGAATGTAACATGCATGCTCAGTCACTGAGTCCTGTCTGACTCTTTGAGACCCCATGGACCGCAGCCTGCCAGGCTCACTGTCTGTGGGGTTTCCCAGGCAAGAATACTGGAGTGGGTTGCCATTTCCTCCCACAGAAGAATGTAATATACAACATGATAAATATAATTAACATCGCTCTATGTCATATATGAAAATTAAAAGTATAAATCCTAAGAGTTCTCACTATAAGAAATTTTCTATTTCTTTAATTTTGTGTCTAAATGAGATAATGGATGTTCACTAAACCTACTGTGATAATCATTTCCTAATGTATGTAAGTCAAATCACAATGCTATACACAAACTAATATTGTGCTACGTGACAATTATATTTCAATAAAACTGGAAGAAAAAAAAATTGTTAGAGGGACTTCCCTGGTGGTCCAGGGGTTAAGAAACTGCCTTCCAATGCAGGGGATGTGGGTTTGATTCCTGGTTGGTGAACCATTCACTGGAAGGGCCGATGCTGAAGCTGAAGCTCCAATACTTTGGCCACATGATTCAAAGAGCCAGCTCACTGGAAAAGACCCTGATGCTGGGAAAGATTGAAGGCAGGAGGAGAAGGGGGTGACAGAGGATGAGATGGTTGGATGGCATCACCGACTCAATGGACATGAGTTTGAGCAAGCTCCAGGCATTGGTGATGGACAGGGAAGCCTGGTGTGCTGCAGTTCATGGGGTCGCAAAGAATTGAACACGACTGAGCGACTGAACTGAACTGGTGAACTAAGATCCCACATGCTGAGGGGCAACTAAGCCCATGTCCCACAACTAGAGCCCATATGGCATAAATGAAGAGCCGACATGCCACAGCAAAGAGCTAGCATGGCCAAAAACTAAAACAAGTGTTAGAAGGGAACGCTGCACTCAGCCCTCCTCCCTGGGTATTTCCAATATCCATTAGCATGTTAAGGCTCTGACAAGTCCTATACAAGGTAGCCTGTTTAGTTTGGTTTTCAATTTTAAAAATGTGCTGCATAATTAAAAAAAAAGTAAGATTCACGAAGAAATCATGGGATATTCATACAATGGACTACAATGGAGAAATGACATTTGCTACTTGTGACAACAAGGATTCATCTCAAAACACAACAAAACCAGTTTGTCCTCCACCCTCCAAAAAGAAAATTACTTAGTCCCATGTGTCTCATCCAGTCACTCCCTCTGTTTGGTATTTAGACAGCAGAAGATTTATTTTGAAAGTGTTAGTCTCAAAGTGTTACTCGCTCAGTTGTGTCCAATTCTTTGGTGACTCCGTGGACTATAGTCTGCTAGCACCTCTGTCCACAGAGTTCTCCAGGCAAGAATACTGGAGTGGGTTGCCATTTCCTTCTCCGGTGGATCTTCCCAACGCAGGGATTGAACCTGCATTTCTGGGGTCTCCTGCACTGGCAGGTGGATTCTTTACCAGCTGAGCCCCCAGGGAAGTCCAAGGTACTAATTCCTGACCAAAGAGCATCACGAGTGTGTGTGACGCTGGAACAGAGCAAATGTGGACTTGAATATGTGTAGGACTTCATCTCCACGGAGGATCCACAGAGAGTGCTCGCCCATGATCCCACAGTGCTCCCCAGGCTCTCACCCTCTCTGAGCACTTCCTTCTGCTTCAGCACCCCCACGAGGGTCAGAAGACGGGGCAGGGCTGCCCAGGCGGCCACTGTGTGCTGGGCTTGGCTCCGCAGAGTCAGGACCCGGCCTCCCCTCCGCTCCTCGGAGGCCTTGAGGAAGAGCTGCACTGTGTTCTGGTCTAGAAGGGCTTTGGAAAACAGCCAGATCCTAGGAAGGAAAGTGATCGGGGCGTGGAAAACATCAGCAGCTATCTCTGCAGCAAATGGTGTTTTTCCCTTTCAAATAAGCCAGTCTGAACCCCACGCTTCAGACCCATCATGGATCGCCTTACTGGGCTCTCAGCCCACAGGGATTCAGTGTAAAAGAGGGCTAAGATCACAGGCTCTGAGGTCAGTCAAATGTGAGACTGAATCCCAGCGCTAATGCCCACTCACTGTGCGGCCTTGCCCAAGGACATGACCTCCCTGAACCTCAGCTTCTTCTTCTGTAAAGTGGAGGAAAACGTGGAACCACTGATGCTGAACTGATATTGCTAACGAGTTATCAGTCTATGTTTTATGGCAAGGGGCAAAACAGTCCCAGAAGCCTGCTGTTAAACTTCCTGGAGAATTGGGGCCGGCAACATGGTGCCAATCATCCACATGGTTTTTTTGTTTGTTTGAGTTTTTTCTTTTCTTTTGCATGTAAGTCTTCCCAGGTGGCGCTAGTGGTAAAGAACCTGACTGCCAATGCAGGAGCTGCAGGAGACACAGTTTTGATCCCTGGATAGGGAAGATCAACTGGAGGAGGGCATGGCAACCCACTCCAGTATTCTTGCCTGGAGAATCTCATGGACAGAGGAGCCTGGTGGGCTATAATCCATGGGGTCGCAAAGAGTCGGACATGACTCAAGTGACTTAGCACACACGAGGCGTGTTAAGACCTTAGTTTCCTGACTAGGAATCAAACCCATGCCCCCTACACTGGAAGTGCAGAGTCTTAACCACTGGACCACCAGGGAAGCCCCACATGGTATGTTCTTTATATGACACTATGGGAGATGTTTTCCAAGGGAGTACCAAGACCAGGGACAAAGTCAGCCATGCTTTCCTTGGTGCACACTCACACAGGTGTGAGAGAGAGTGTGTGTGTTTCCCTAAGGAAAGGCACTATTTACAAATAATGCCATTGTTTGGTTTCTCATTTTGCACTGGCTGCTAGAAGCTCAGAGCCAAATCTTCAGCTCCACTCTAGAAAATGGCATGCATTTCATTTACTGATGCCACTTTGATCATCTTCCCATTTTTCCTTCCCTTCACCCTAATTTCCTCATGTATTTTTTTTGAAACCCAGAATAAGAATCGGCAAGCTATGGACCAAAACCAGCCCACCTGTATATTAAGTAAAGTTTTATAGGAACTTGGCCACTTGCATTGATTTACATGTTGTGTACGATGCTTTTGTGCTACAATAGCAGAGTACCTGCCACAGAGAGCATGTGGCCTGCAGATCCAAAAATATTTACCATCCTGTCCTTTCCTGAAAGTTTTGCCAGTTGTTGACCTAGAACAATATACATTTTCATAATCTACCTCAAACCCTTTGTAGATTGGGAATAAGGCTTCCCAGTTGGCTAGGCGGTAAAGAACCTGCCTGCCAATGCAGGAGACACGGGTTTGATTCCTGGTCCAGGAAGATCTCCTGGAGGAGGAAATGGCAACCCATTCCAATATTCTTATCTGAGAAATCCCACAGACAGAGGAGCCTGGCAGGCTATAGTTCACTGGGTCATAAAAGAATCAGACATGACTTAGCAACTTAACAACAATTATGAATGCTGCTATAACTAAAAAAGAAAAGAAAATAGATCAAAGTGGAAAATTGAATGTCTCCTCCCTTCCACACCCTCAAGCCTTAAAATCAAGAATGGCATGGATGGTCCCATCCCATTCAGCGATGGTCCCAGAGGGCACTTCTGGGTGATGATTTCCCATCTCCCAGGACTTAGCCCTTCAACCTCAGAGGCCCCCTCCCCTCCTTGAAGCCGCCTGGGGATGGTCACCTGGCTGGGGCAACCTTGCTGGAGAGCTGCAGCTGAACAGCCCTGGGGGCTCTGAGGACCTCCTGGTGTAGGAGGACGCTCACACCCCAGCCCCGGGTGTTCCTCCGGCTGTCCTGGCTTGCACTGGCCTCCAGCAGAATCAGCTCCTCACCAGACACGTGCACAGACAGGGAGCTGTTGAGGCTGCGCTCTCTGTACCGCCGGACAGCCGCCTGCACCTGCAGAGAAAGAGGAGAGAGTTCAGAAGCAGGGGTGTTGGGGGGACTTCTCTGACGGTCTAGTAGTTAAGCATCTGCCTTGCAATGCAAGGTACATGGGTTCAATCCCTGATTGGGGAACTAAGATCCCACATGCCACAGAGCAACTTAGCGTGCGAGCCACAACTACTGAGCCCTTTCGGCTCAAGTAGAGGATCTGTGTGCTGCAGTGAAAGATCTTCCGTGACACAAGGAAGATGCCGCGTGCCACAGCTAAGACCCAACACAGCCACATAATAAACAAACACATACTTTTATAAAACAGTAAAAGTGAAATCGTGAGTCACTCAGTCACGTCCGACTCTTTGCGACCCTATAGACTATGGTCTGCCAGGTTCCTCTGTCCACGGGATTCTCCAGGCAAGAATACTGGAGTGGGAAGCTATTCCCTTCTCCAGAAGATCTTTTCAACCCAGGGATCAAACCTGGTTCTGCCTGCATTACAGGCAGATGCCTTACCATCTGAGCTACTAGGGGAACCCCTCTTTTTTAATTTTCATAAAAGATACTATTTTAAAAAAAAGCAGAGGAAGGACAGGAACGGTCTGCAGGAGCTGGGTATGCAGGAGGGCCTCTTCTTCCAGGAAGACTTCCCGAGTCACTCCAGCACTGAGCATCACCAAACACAGTGGACAGCAAACACTCAGGAAGAAAAATAAGACAGAGGGAAGAATAGGGGGACGCCTTCCCTGACCCCAGCTCCTTGCCCAGGAACAGAGGATCACCTTGTCCCTCCCACTACCTATGAGGTGGGATTTCTGTCTTACAAATGGAGAAACTGAGGCTCAGAGACTCACATATTCAACCTGGGCCTGCCTGGCTCTAAAACTCATGTTTGTGCCTGAAAGAGGGCTGCTGGGGGGAGCAGAAGACCCCTGAGCAATTCGGTTACAGAAAAGTATGCTCCACAGTGCCCCTTGGGGCCCAGAGAACCCCTAGAAGCTCTGGAGGTCAAAGGCGAGAGTGTCTGGTGCATATGGAGGGACCACACTTGGGGTGAGTTCTCTGGTGGCTCAGAGGGTAAAGCGTCTGCCTGCAAGGCAGGAGATCTGGGTTTGATCCCTGGGTTGTGGGATCACAACCCACTCCAGTATTCTTGCCTGGAGAATCCCATGGACAGAAGAGCCTGGTGCAGACTACAGTCCATGGGGTCACAAAGAGTTGAACATGACTGAGCCACTTCACTTTCACACCTAGGGTGAGGCTGGGGCAAAGGCCTGGCCAGACCCCCCAGGGTGATGGGGGGAGGAGTAGGGTGCAAGCGGCGAGGCCCACTCTTCCACCAGCTCTGTAGGATCTGAAGCCCACTTCCTGATCTGGGCCTCGGTTCCGCCACTACAGGGTAGAAACTGGCCAGCCCATTCTGCACGTTACAATCGCTTGGGGAGCTTTTACAAGTATGCCTGGCCCCTCACTACTTGAATTGACAGTAGTGTATCTCATGCAATGCAACAGTATTCAGTGATAAAATGAAACGAGCTATTAAGCCCTGAAAAGACACAAAGGAATTGTAATGGCACATTCTAAATGAAACAAGCCAAGCTTTCACTTCAAGGTTACAAACTGAATGATTCCAACTGTATGATGTTCACGGGGGGAAAAGGTAAAACTAAAAATACAGAAAATGGTAACTGGTGGCCAGAGGGTAAGAGAGAGGGAAGGAGGAACAGAGGGATCGCAAAGGATCTTTAGGGCAGTGAAACTACTGTGTATGATACAGTGAAAGCTGATTTACAACATTATGCACTTGGCAAAACCCACAGAATGTATGGCACAAAGAGAGAACCTTAAAGTAAATGATGGGCTTTAGTTCACAATGAATTAATATTGGTCCCTCCCATTTTAACAAATGTACCACAGTAATGCAAGATGTTTGGCTTATTTTTTAAACATTATCCTTTTATCTATTTATTTTTTATTTTGGCCAAGCCATGCAGCATGTAAGATCTCAGTCCCCGACCAGGGATGGAACCAGCACCCCACAGCAGTGGAAGCACAGTCTACCACTGGATCACCAGGGAAGTCCCACAAGATGTTAATAAGTGGGAAAACTGTGTATGGTGGAGAACAGGGGTCTACAAGAACTCTCTGTACTTTCTGTTCAATTTTCCTGTAAACCTAAAACTGCTCTAAAAACGGAGATTTATTAATTTTTTAAAAGAGTGCCTGGGACGCCCTAACCAATCAACTCAGCATCTCCAGGCTTCGGTCCAGGAATGTTCTATTAATAAAACTGCTCCACCTGCTTCTAACGTGCAGCTGAGGCTGGGAACTTCCAGGGGACACCACGTCTTCTCTGATTGACTCTGCGGGCCGGAGAGGTCTTGTGGATTGTGCATTCTCAACCCAAGGGGCAATATCGCTCTAAATGCATAATTGGTTCTTGTGGGGTGGGGAGGGCTGGTTAAAAAAAATAACTTCTTATATCAGGCACAGATATGCATCTGCACATAACAGAAATACAGGACATGTGTGGACTTAAATTTTCATAGAGGGGACGATTAGGGAAAAAGTGTCTAACAAGCCTCCTTGGTTGGGGATGCAATAATGAAAATTAGGCTGAGAAACATCAATGAAGAGACACCTGCGGCGGCGGTGGGGTGGGGGGAGTTTCAATAGTAAAAAGTGACAATAAAGCCTGAATCCATTAGCTGACCCAGCACCCAAGGTTCCAACAGGACCCCTCCACCTTCTCCATGAGTGCTGGAGACACACGGCACTCTACATCCAGACTGCCCGGGTGCCCATCCAAGCCCCTCCACTTAAGGGCTCCATGACCTTGTACAGGTCACATCACCTCTCCGTGCCTCAGAGTCTCATCTGCAAAATGCCGAGACAGCAGCACTGTGAGGCATCCGTGAGATGATCCACATCAAGGGCTGAGACCAGAGCCCGGTGCACAACAAACACTCAAGGGATATCAACTCCCGTTATAACTGACTTCAGCGATGGCATATTTTCCAATCTTATGGGTGCCATGATTTTATACACCTCGAAAGCGAAAAGGCTGCTGATGAGACAATGAACCAGCGTGGGTCTGAAGATACATCCTGATTTCAGAGATACCAACACATGAGAAAACACGCCTCTGTGAGCTTCCATTCTTCAGAGCTCTTCCTGGGCTCCCCTTGAGTTGTCAAAACCCACAGGCACAAGACTGAGGCCACAGCAGGCATTTAAAAACTGCTATTGAATTCTGGTCCTCATCCCAGTGGGGGTGACCCATCTACACCTCCATCTCCCCAGCCCGCAGCCTAATTCCGGTGTACACAGCATACTCTCAAAGCAACCAAGGTGGGGGGCTTTCTACGGAGCCGGTCCTGGGGGCACAGAGCACAGCCCTCCCACCTGCACTCCTCTCCCGGCCTCTTCCTTTCCCGGTAGAATGAAACCCTACAAGGTTTCTACCCAACACTGGGCAAAATACTCTGGGATCTGAAAAGCCTCTTCCAGATCCAACGACAGGACAGGGTTTCGAGGACAGTTCTGCCTCTCTCCATTTTCAAGGGTGAAATGTGATCCTTTCACCCTCCAGGGAGCTGAAAACCCTTCTTGCCTGGACAATCACTTCCAAATGATGGATTTGGAAATCTCCTTCCCATCTGTTCTTGATTCTGCAGGGGCTGTCTGGCTAAGCTCAGCATCGTGGTGTGGCCCTCCCTCTGCTCCCCCCAACCATCCTCCAGCCTCCCTTCCTTCCGCCCCAGCTCCCAGCAAGCCGGCCGCTCGCAGACAACATTTGGCAGGTAACTGAGGTCATCCCGAAGGGACCACCATCTGTACCTGTAAGTCTGGAGGAAATGTGGGTCCACGGGGATGTCTGAGCTGGAAGGAAACCACCGAGTGGGAGTCAGATCCATTCAGCTGGACTGAGACCTGCCGGGAGGGGGAAGTGGAGAAGGGGTGAGGGGGTCAGAGGGAGCGAAGGAGTAAGATGCAGAACCCAAGAAGGTGGCTGGCTGGGCAGTGAGGAGGGACAGGTCATCCCAGAGTTGTCCCAAACCCAGGCCCCACAGCAGATGCCTGAGCCACCATCCTTCCAGGACGGTTCTCAGCCTAAATCTTATGGAGATTGTCTTACTTGGAAGCTTGAGAAGTGAGGCCCCAGACACGGGGCTGAGAGGACAGCTCTTGGACAGCAGACCCCATCCTCCCCCTGCTGTGGTGTCTGCTCATGCCTCCCGTGTTCACGGCTGCCATTTATTTGACCCTGACTATGAACCAGGCACTGGGAAGCTGGTTTTACAATCCTCATCTTATTCAATCATCACCCCTGCTCTCATAGGCTGGTATTACTATCCTTCTTCTCAGGAGGAAAAACTGATGCTCAGCAAGGTTGAACAATTTACCCAAGGTCACAGAGAAAGTCCACAGTGGAGCTGGGATTTGAACTTGAAAGCTCCTTGGAGATGGGAACAGAAACACAGTCATTTGTGCAGTCCCAATATATTGCATGGAGCCTGGCATGCAGCAGAGACACTATCTATATACGGTGAATTAATGAATATATCCACAGTGGCTGCTATACATTCACCAAAATGCACTTCCTTTCCCTCTAGGACATACAGCTAAAACTACATTTCCCAGCCTCCCTTGCAGCTGGGTAGGGGGTCAGGTGATGAGTTTCCACCAATGGAATTACTTATGCGTCTGACCAGTGAAAACCTCCTGCAAAATTCTCACCCTCTTTCTCATCTAGCCAACTGGGGCAGAGCCACAGGGTGGTGGGAGCCTGGGTCCCTGCGTGACTGTGTGGAGTAGACCCACACTGAACTGTGAAATGACTGCAGAATAAACTTTCACAGTAAAGCAAACTTTTGTCACAGTGGTGCACCCTGATTCATCACATGCATGCTGCCAAAATAAAGCCTGTGCGATCAGCTTGCCAGGGCCAGCTGAGGGCCACCTCCTCAGCTGTCCCATACTGACACCCGCATGCTAACATTAAATCCCCTCCTCCCCCAGCTAGGAGGCAGAACTCGGTCTTCTGACCTGGGACGTGATGTTGTGGTTGATGGTAGCTCGTGCAGCCACACCACAGTCAAATGCTCCCTCGTGCCTCTGTCTGAAGACAATGTCCCCATCCACATTCAGGGCTTGGGGAAACCTCAGCTAGGAAAGAAGAGACCGTACCTTTTACTCTTGCCAGCAGTCAAGCTCTGCTTGGAAATCGCCAACCAGCATTTGCCAGCCCAGGGATGGGTACCTGGAAGGAGTGAGTCACGTCCAGGGCCAGGTTATGCCAGACTTCACTGTGCTGAGATCTATTGTGGTGCAAAGCCTTCAAGTGCAGCAAGACTTTCTGGTTGACTCTCAGAGTGGCCTCAACACCTCTGTTCTTAGCCTGTACAAGAACCGACGGCCCTGAGAGAGGGGACTCCCCATCTGAGTGCCTCAGAGGCCACCCTCGGAACCCAGCAATCAAAGTGGCCCCAAGATTGATGGGTGAAAGCACAGTCTACACTGTGCCACTCACAGGAAAGAAAGGGGGCAGGTGCCAGGCGGGTCTTTGATATGTGTGGTCAACTCCAGCACCCACGGGGTTAGCAGGGTAGGCTTTAGGGCCTGTCTCTCATTCACAAGGAGTGACTGCTCTAATCACTGCTGCATTTGTAACACTCAGCATGGCACCTGGTGCATAGCAGGTGCTCAAGAAATATCAAGATGAATGCAGAATCGCTAGTTGTAGTTACAGCCTGAAATCCCAAGGGCAATGCCATGCTAAGTGGAAGAATGTTTAATTCACAGTGTGGCAGGCAGAAAAATACCCACCTTCCCTAAAATATCCATGTCCTCAACCCTGAACTCTGGGAATCTGTTACCTTACAGGGCAAAAGAGATTTTACAATTAAGAATCTTGAGATGGGCAGATTATCCTGGATTATCCAATGAGCTAATCACAAGGATTTTTTGGTTTGTGTTGGGATTTTTTATTGTTGTTGTTGTTGTTTTAGTTCAAACAACAAGTGAGACCTTAGTTCCCTGACCAGGTATTGAACCTGCGCCCCTGCAGTGAAAACATGGAGTCTTAACCACTGGACTGCCAGGGAAGTCTCAAGGGTTCTTATAAGAGGGAGGCAAGAGAGTCACAGTCAGAGAGAGGAAGATGCTACTCTGCTACCTTTGAAAACAGAGAAAGGGACCATGAATCAAGACACATGGGTGGTTTTTAGAAGTTAGAAAAAGCAAAAAAAAAAAAAGGATTCTCCCCTGGAGCTTCTAGAAAGAATGCAATCCTGGAAACACCTTGATTTCAGTCAAGTGAAACCCATTTTTTATTTCAGATCTCAAGAAATGTAAGATAAATTTGTGTTGTGAAGCCACTAAGTTTGTGGCAATTTATTATAGCAGCAACAGGAAATACATACACAGAGTTAACCACTTATTCACTCAACAACCATTTTGCTTCTGCCACGTGCTAAGTACAAGCAGCAGGCTGCCATCTTTTCCCACCTCTGCAGACTGAGAAGTTAAAAAATGTCTTGCCACCAGAATTTTATCATTGGTGAACGTCTCTAAAAGAATACACAGCTTTGTTTCAGAGCCAGGATGGAGGAGGAAGAAACAAAGGTCCAAGAGAAGTGGAAAATGTGTGTCATTAAAGATAGGGTTGTAAAACCCTGGAGAAGGAAATGGCAACCCACTCCAGTGTTCTTGCCTGGAAAATCCCATGGACAGAGGAGCCTGGCGGGCTACAGTTCATGGGGGTGACAAAGAGCTGGACACGACTGAGCACACAGGCTTTTAGACAGAACTGTCAAATTAAATTAAATTAAAGGATCCCCACCTACTTGGTTCTAGCCTGTTGCTGTCAGGTGAGGTTTCAGGCCCAGTGGGTCAGATCTTCCAATTTTTTATAATTAGAAGCAGAGATCTGCGTTTTATTCCAAATCTTCTGATTTAAATGTTGACACTTTTTTTCTTTACTCTAAATGCTAAGCAGGCCAAACAAAACACATCTGCAGGCTGGATTTGGCCCATTCGCCATTTTGCAATCTCCGGTTTAGAAAACAGGACACACCACAGGGAAACATTTGCGCAGGTGTTCAGGGTCGTCATCCCACCCATGGTTCCCCCTCAGGACCTCCAAGGGCTTCAGCTCCCAAACCTGGGGGCTGCTCACAGCCCAGTTTGACAGGCAGGGAAGTGAGGCCCCAGAAACACAGGTCTCTCTCCATGTACAGCAGCTGGCCCAGCTCCAGCCCCAGACCTGTGGATATCCCCAAGGGAGAAACCACCACTGTCTTCCTTCTCCAGGGCCCAGCACACAGCAGGTGCTCAATACATGCTTGCTGGAGAATGGGATCATCTCCTGGAGCATCTTTTCCTAGAGGGGTCAGGAAGGAGACTCAGATGAGGGCCCATAGCCATGTCATAAGTACTCAAGATTGCACCCAAGTACAATCTTGGAAGGACTGATGCTGCAGCTGAAACTCCAATACTTTGGCCAACTGATGCAAAAAGCTGACTCACTAAAAAAAGATGCTGATGCTGGGAAATACTGAAGGCAAAAGGAAAAGGGGGTGATAGAGGATGAGATGGTTGGATGGCATCACTGACTCAATGGACATGAGTTTGAGCAAACTCCAGGAGACAGTGAAGGACAGAGGAGCCTGGCGTGCTGCAGTCCATGGGGTCACAAACAGTCAGACATGACTTAGTAACTGCACAACAAGTACTCAAGAAAGATCACTGTACTCCATTTCGATCCTCCCAGCAACTGCATAAGAGATGAGGATTGCTGTCTCCACTGCACAGAAGAGGAAACTGAGATCCAGAGACACCAGATGATTTGCTAAGGGCACAGAGGCAAAAAATGAGTTTCACTCCTAGAAGACAAATGCCAAGACCCTCTAAGTCAGGGGTTAAAAACTACAAACTGGAAAAACAACAACAACAAAAACTGGCCAGCCTGTTTTTGCAAATCAAGTTGTTTAGACTGCTGTAACAGAAATAGCACAGACTGCATGACTCAAACACCAGAAATTTTACATCTCACAAGTTCTGGAGGCTGGAAGTCCAAAACCAAGGTGCCAGCATGGATGGGTTTTAGTGAGAAACCTCTCGCTGGTTTGCAGATGGCCACCTTCTCATTGTGTCCTCAGGTGGTGGAGAGAAAGCTCAGCTCTGATCCTCTTTTGGGGAGGACAGTAATCTTATCATTAAGATTAATTACTTCATGGCAAATAGATGGGGAAAAAAATGGAAACAGTGAGAGATTTGAGCAAACTCTGGGAGATAGTGAAGGACAGGGAAACTTGATCAGCTGCAGTCCATGGGATGGCAAAGAGTCGGACATGACTGAGCGCTGAGCAACTGAACAACAATCTTATCATAAGGGCTCCACCCTCATGACCTAATCAACCCAAAGCCTGCACTTCCAAATCACATTAGAGCTTCAACATATGAATCTGGGGAGGGGAGTGGGTACACAAACATTCAGCCCACAACAAAAGTTTTATCGGAACACAGTTGTGCCCATTCATTTGTGTGTTTCCTACAATGTTTGTGAGCTACAAAGGCAGAGATGAGTAGTTGCAACACTGACTGTATGACCTGCAAAGGCTACAATAGTTACCATCTGGTCCTTCAGGGAAAAACTTGATCAACCCCTGCTCTACATTAGGTATATAATGCATTTTCTTTCTTTCTTTTTTTTAATTTTGGTCGCACCACGAAGCATGTGAACTTCCCCAACCAGGGATTGAACCTGTGTCCCCTCTGGAAGCACACAGTCTTAACCACTGGACCGCCAGGGGAGTCCTAGAATGCACTTTTGACAGCACCGGGCCAACAGCTACTCATTTAGCACTGACTGTGAGCCAGGCCTTGCGGCTCTCAGGATGAAAAAGCAGACACATCCCGATCATGGTCTCGGACTAGCACAGGGTCCGGGCTGGGGTCTCTCTCCCAAGAGAAGAGGTGATGGTTTTTAAGTAAGGGGGCGACAATGACTACGCTGGCGTGTTGCAAAACTCCCTCAGGCTGTCAAGTAGCTTGAATTAGGCAGACAATGGAACAGAAAACTCAGGCCAGAATTCTCCGTTTGCTTCATCCAGTTGAGAGATGATGGCAACCTGAACCGGGGACCACTGGGGTGAAAAGAGCTCTGGGATCCTCTTACCAGGTGCCGATTCCACGAAACCACGCACCCGTCCAAGCTCCTGGGGATGGCCCTGTTGTCGTACGGGTGGGTCAGGCCCGCGCAGACCTGGGAGGGACAACCACACACACACACAGATGGGTCAGAGGCAGGTGGAAGCCCCTCCCCGTTGAACGCTGGAGCCCACTCACATAGGGGTGCCCGGCCTGGTAGCCCAGGACCACGGTCTGCAGGGTCTCCTCCTGGGCATCCAGGACCACCCTGGTCTCCAGGGAGTAACGCTGGTGCTGCCGGTCGGCCGTGAAGGTCTCCTGCAGGAGGATGCGCTGCGGGAGGGCCACGGTCCAGGGGTGCCTGGTGTGGAGAGGGGGGACAGGCCGAAGCCATTAAAGCAGCTGGCAGGGTTAGAGGACACCTGTGCCCCAGGGGCCTGTCACCGTCTTGCAGAGTTAAGACTTTGTTACAGGGGACTAGCCTGGTGGTCCAGTGGTTAAGAGTCCACCTTCCAATGCATGGGATATGGGTTTGGTCCCTGGGTCAGAGAACTAAGATCCCACACACCACGTAGCAACTAGGCCCTCACATTCCAGCTACTGAGCCCGCATGCCACAACTAGAGAGAAGCTTGAGTGACACAACTAGAGAAGCCTGCACACTGCAACAAAGATCCTGTGTGCCTCAGCTAAGACCTGATGCGGCCAAATAAATATTTTTTTCAAAAAGACTTTGTCTATGTGCGTGTGTGCGAAGTTCCTTCAGTCGTGTCTGACTCTCTGCAACTCTATGGACCATGGCCCACCAGGCTCCTCTGTCCATGGGATTCTCCAGGCAAGAATACTGGAGTGGGTTGCCATTTCCCTTCTCCAGGGGATCTTCCGGACCCAGGGATGGAACCCGGGTCTCCTGCATCTCCTGCACTGCAGGCAGATTCTTTACCATCTGAGCCACCAGGGAAGCCCTGGCACATAGTGGGTGCTCAACAAATATAAATGAGATTAAAAAACGGATGAGACCTTGGCAAATGCAGCGGCTGCTGGTTTTGGGTTACTGCTTCTGTTCTGACAGTAGATGGCTAAGGGCCCCCAGCTGGTCAATGCACAGCCTGGACTTCAGGCTGGGTCTGCTGACTTCAACCCTGTGCTGTTCACCCCCCAACAAAGAACAGGCTTTTTAACCAGCTGTGCCTCCAGGAACTGAAATGGGTCCCCCAGAGCAGCTTTCAGCCTGGGGTGAGGAGACTGTTTTCTGTGCCACCTTGGCACACCAGTGAAAGCGGGTGAGGGATGTGGGGGCTTTCAGGGAGGGGGCTCGACTCTGAGCTCCGGGGTCTGTCTGGGCCCCTCCAGGCAGCATGGCGCACCCCACTCCCTGGTGAGTCTCCACACTGGAGAACAGGTGACCCGGGCAGGCACCACACCTCGGAGGAAGCAGCCTGGGGGGAGGGGCCACACATACCGAAGGGAGAAGGTCCCCTGCTTCCGGTACAAGCTCCTGTCTCGAACCAGCTCCTCCAGTGTGCCCTCCAGCTGCAGGCCCTCAGGATGGCCCCTGGCACTGGTCCCCAGAGCCGTCAGTGATACTTGACTCTTCCGTGGCTGCAATGAGATCAGGCTGATGCGGAGGGATGCCCGGAGGGTCCAAGCTGATGAACATCCTGCCCTGGGGGTCTCCAGGGGCAGCCCCCACTCATCACCCCAGGAATGACCACCAGAAAGGGCTGATCAAATGGGCTGCAGCCTCCATACCATCAGACCTCAAGGTTGCACAGGCACACCTCTATGGCAAGACCTCTCCAGGTGCCCAGCAGGAATGAAGCACTTGGATGTCCAGTACCAGATGGCCGACCTTTGCTCTGGGGTCAGCGCTAGTATGGCTGGGGTCCATTTTATAGATAAAGAAACTGAGGCTCGGGGAGGCTTCTAGGCCAAACTAGTGGCCTTCCCCATCCCAGATATGGGATTCAGGGTCTCTCGATGGCAAAGTCTCCAGCACAGGCCACCTGGACCGTTACCTGCTCCATGTGCCTGTAGGCGGCCGTTAGGTTCAGCTCCCGCTGGGGGCCCTTCAACCAGCAGCGCAGGCTCTTACGGTCTCGGCTGTTCTCAGCATGAATCTCGCTCTGCACCGCTGCGCTCCAGGCTGTTTCTATTTCACTCTGGCTGCTAAAGAGGCTCTGTGTCAAGGCTGTCACCGTGGAAACCTGTAATGAGGATGAAGAGGCTGACCAAAGCCTTTGCACACCCTATTTCCTCCTCTTGGGATTCCCTTTCTCCCAGTCCCACTTGGTGAGCTCCTACTCATCCTTCAAAACCCCTCCAATGCCACCCTGGTGCCCCCTGGCCCCTGCCTCGAGGGGACTGTGCTGTCCCCAGACGTGCCCACCGAGCTGCCTCCTTCTGAGCCCAAGTCAGGCCTGGACCACGCCTCCCCATGTCCACTCATCATCCCAACACAGGGAGACGCTTGATGTACCAGGTTCCCACGTGTGACATCACGGAAGTCCTTCTCTGGTTGCTTTCCTTCCAAACTCTGCTATGCTGCTTCACTCGGCAGGTGGTATAAAACTGACCTCCATCCTCAAAGTTTTCATTCTGCATTTTGGCAAAAGCCTCCTGTCTATTTGTTTCTAAGGTACCAGCTCAACCTACTTTCATATTTTACTGTCTCAGCTGCTAAGCAAGAACATGAGACACTGAGGTTTATTTTGGGGTGCACTCTCCCAAATTCCCTTGGCAACTAACTCTGCAGAGTGTGAATATTGAGTGAGCCAGACTTCACGCATCTGGGACCCGGCATGCAAAACCCCCGAACCTTGGTTTTAACCCTTTGCTCAGAAGATTTAAATGGCAAGAAATCGGGCTCCCTGGCCGCTGGTGAGCGGGGTGGGCAGAGGGCGTGGCTGATCATGCGCACCCGGAGGTAGGTGGTCGCTGGAGTGTAGACGTGGATCTTGCCGTCCCTCTGGAGGCCCCGGCCCCTGCAGGCCACGTTTATCACCAGATTCTTGAGGGTCCAGGCCTTGCCCAGCGTCAGCTCCAACACAGCCTGGAACGTGGCTCGGTTAGGCCAATACAGCCTGTGAGCCGTGGAGACCATCAGCCAGGGACTATTCAGGTTCAAGGCTCCTGCAACAGGCAGAGAACAAGAAACCAGTTATCCCCAGGGCAAGAAGGGGACTTTTGGCAGGCAGCAAGAGACCCCTGTAGTCATCATGGTCACTGCAGGGCACATCTCATAACTGGGAATGGCTAGAACCTTCTAGAATGACTCTAATGCTCTGAACTTTGACAGGGGCTTGAGTTTCACAGATTTGTGCACCTGTCAAAACTCATCAAATGGTACCCGGGAGATGTGGGCATTTCACCTTAGTGAATGATACCATACTGAAATATTTAGGGGTGAGATGTACCATGGTTTACAACTTAATTTGACCTGTACCAACAAATAAGACAGATGGCTAAGTGGGCAGATCGGTGACAAGATAGGTGGAGTAAAATGTTAGTAGCAGAATCCACATTGAGAATATGTAGGTGCTCACTGCACCACTCTTTGCACTTTTCTGAAATGTTTTCAGTAAGAGATGTTAGACAGAAGAAACGCTAGGAAAGTTGGAGAGCAGGGCACTGGAGTGAGATGATCAAGAGCATGGCCTTAACTCTTGCAAGCTATGTGACCTCTTTGAGCCTGTGCTTCCATCATCTGTAAAATGGGTACAATAGTACCAATCACAGTGTCTTGGGACAGAGGAAGCATCCACTCAGAAGAGTAAAGATCAATCATCACCATCATCAGAAAGTTGACATTCTACATAGCATGTTGCCCTTCCACGAGGAACTAAAACCAGTCACTAGACCCCTCCCATATTTTGTAATAAATCTCCCACTTGCTCAAGGGCTAATTCAGTAAATATGGCTCCAGACTCTCGGGACTTGGCAGTGAACAGGAGGCATAGTTGCTGCCTTGATGGAACTCGTGGTCTGGGGGCAGTGGTGAGGGAGAAATCTTGAACAAATAAACATAATGAAACCTGTACTGTGCTGGCCTTAGTTGCTCAGTCATGTCCAATTCTTTGCAACCCCATGGACTATAGCCTGCCAGGCTCCTCTGTCCATGGGGATTCTCCAGGCAAGAATGCTGGAGTGGGTTGCCAAGCCCTCCTCCAGGGGATCTTCCCAACCCAGGGATAGAACCCAGGTCTCTCTCTGAGCCACCAGGGAAGACCTACCTAGGTAGAAAATGCTGAGTGCTAGGAAGGAAAAGAAAGAGGGAGTTGGACCAAGGTCAGGAGGGTCAGTGAAGACTCCCATGGACAGGACCATTGAGCTCAACCCTGAATGAGGAGCAGTGGAGTCTGTCAAAGGGAGGGAGTGCTCCCCCACCTCCTAGTGGAGATAGGAGACTCACTATGTGGGGAAACTGAGGCTGAGAGGCCAGGATTCAGGGCGACCCAGCACAGCAAGGGTAGAGGGCGAGCTGCCAAGTTGAGAACAGGGAGATATCGAGTAGAGTGTATTCAGGTGCCCTGCCCTGAGATGCCAGTTCCGCAGGAGATGGGGAGATTGCTCCACGGAAGAATAGAGTGACTGAAAAAAAAAGGTCCACAGATATGGGGCCCAGGGTCCTCAGGGAGAGCCAGGACCCCACCCAACAGGAAAGTCCATCAGTCAACAAGAGCACCCCCACTCATACATACATGCATATATATATATACACACACACACACACACACAATATGAAATACTACTTGGCCATGAAAAAGAACAGAATAATTCCATTTGCAGAAACATGAATGCAACTAGAGATTATCATCCTAAATGAAGCAAGTGAGAAATACAAATACCATGTAATGTTACTTAGACATGAAATCTAAAATATGACACAAATGAACTGATCTATGAAAAAGACTCATAGAGAACAGACTTATAGTTGACAAGGAGGGGGAGTAGGGGAGGGATGGAGTGGGAGTTTGGGATTAACAGATAGAAACTATTATATATGGAATGGATAAACAACAAGGTCCTACTGGATAGCACAGGGAATAATATTCAATATCCTATGATAAGACATAATGGAAAAGAATAGAAAAAAAGTATATACATAATGGAATCACTTTGCTGCATAGCATAAATTAATAGAACATTGTAACTCAACTATACTTCAGCAAAATAATTTTTTTTTTAAAGAGCACACACACCCTCCCCCTCCCATACAGCCTCCTTCCAAACAAGTTCCAAGTTACTGACTCTTAAACAAAAGCACATACCCTACTCTTACCTGGCATGTGGGGAAAGCAACTAAAAGGAACTTAAGAAACAAAAAGAAAAAATAAACTCAGGGAGAACAGATCAAAGTCCCCCAATTCTATAACTTACGTTCATAGAGAAGAGAAGATAATGCATTCATGAAGAACTTGCAGGAACACAAAAGAGCTCTTGGGAATACAAGCTAGACAAAACTAAAAATGTCAGTAGGAAGGCTAGAGGATGAAGTTGGGGAAATCAGCCCTCAAAACAGAACAAAAGGACAAAGAGATGGAACAATGGAGAGAAGAGAGAAAATCAGAGGTTTAGTTTCTGAGGACCAACATCTATCTGACCAACAGCAATTCCAGAACACAGAAAGAAATTACCAAAGAAACTGTGCAAAAAAACTACCAAGCCCCAAACGGTGGGTCTCCACATTGCAAGGTTATATGCCAAGTGCTTAGTACAGTGAATGAAGAGAGATCCAAATCAAGGCTCATCATCGTAAGATTTAAAGATACGAGGAATAAGGGCTTCCCTCATAGTTGGTGAAGAATCTGCCTGCAATGCAGGAGACCCTGGTTCGATTCCTGGGTCAGGAAGATCCACTGGAGAAGGGAAAGGCTACCCACTCCAGTATTCTGTCTGGAGAATTCCATGGACTGTATAGTCCATGGGGTGGCAAAGAGTCGGACATGACTGAGAGACTTTCACTTTCAGGAATAAAGAGAAGCTCCTAAAAGCTTCCAGAGAGAAACAAAAGGGTCACAGACAAAGGATGATGGATCAGAAATAGCACCAGACCTCTCAACTGATTCACACAGACAGTGGAGCGATGTCTTCACAATCCCAATGGGAAATCATTTCCAACTTAGAGTTCTCTATTCAGCCAAATCAAATGAAGACAGTTTAAACATTCAGGGTTTCAAAATGTTTACATCCTGTTACAGGTTGAATTGTGTCTCTCAAATAGATATGTAGTCCTAACCCCTGGTACCTCAAAATGTGACCTTATTTGGGAATGGGGTCATTGCAGATAAAATTAGTTAAGATGAGGTCATACCAGAGTCCCAGGTGGCTCAGGGATGTTGGGAAGATCCCCTGAAGGAGGAAATGGTACCCCCCTGCAGTATCCTTGCCTGAAAAATCCCATGGGCAGAGAAGCCTGGTGGGCTACAGTCCATGGGGTCACCAAGAGTTGGACACACGGAACATGCACAGACACTTGGCGGAGAAGCGGGGGCCTTAAGTCTGATAGGACTGTACCAATCTCTTTATATGGAGAGAGAAGTTTGGACACACACACACAGAACCGTGTAACAACACAGGCAGAGACTGTTGTTGCTGTTGAGTCGCTAAGTCATGTCCAACTCTTTGCAACCCTATGGACTGTAGCCCACCAGGCTCCTCTATCCATGGGATTTTTCAGGCAAGAATACTGCAGTGGGTTGCCATTTCCTTCTCCAGGCGATCTTCCCAACCCACAGATCAAACCTGTGGCTCCTGCAGGTAGAGATTAGAGCAATGTAACTCTAATGTAACTCAATGTACCAACCAAGGAACGTCAAGCATTAATAACCACCACCAGAAGCTAGGAAGAGGCAGGAAGGACTCTACCCAGGGTCACAGAGAGAACATGGCCCTACTGACGCCTCACCTTCACAATTCTAGTCTTGGAGACTGTAAGAGAATAAATTTGTTGTTTTAAGCCACCCAGCTTGTGGTAATTGGTTAACACAGCCCTAGCTAATAAATGCACTTTCCATGTATCCTCTCTCAAGAAGCTACTGGAGGATGTGCTCCATTGGAACAAAAGAGCAAAGCAAGAAAGAACATGAGCGCAAGAAGCAGGGACTGTGGCCCAGAGAAGTGGAAGGCACTCCCTGAATGTTGGTGAGGGGATGCCCCAGGACACAGGTGGTCTACCCTGGATCAGCAGTGGCTCCAGGAAGAGTGTCGACAAGAAAACTAGGAGAACTGATCGAAGCTGACAAGTCATCTGAAGTGTGTGACCCTCTGGAGAAGAGTTTTGCAGTGTTGCTAAAAATTCTAGGAATAATCATAGGAGGAAAATAGAAAATTAATCAAACAGGGGGGAAAGGCTATTATAGCTCCAGGAAAAACAGAAAGTTAGAATTCTAGTATACCACATGTCTCAGCTGTGAGGGACACAATTATATCAATGCTGAATATTAACAAACTATAACTCTTGGGGGAAGAGAGGGAAATACATATTTTAAAAGGGATGGTGCAGGTTAAATTCTCATCCTCTATCATAAGAAATACATGGAGAATAAAAATGCCTGAGAGAAAAATCAAGAAGTAAGTGTTATTAAAAGATGGAGGGTCTGATAAGAAATCATAAAAAGAATTTACAGTGCTTGCCATTTCAAGCAAAATTTGGGGTAGGAAGACATGAAGCAGAAAATTACTGTGTTTGTTATAACTTTAACTTTTAAAACTTTAAAAAATTTTTCAAGTACATACATGAATTCAGAGACTATGAAGAGATTCCCATGTAACGTTCACCCACCTTAAACAATTTCCATGTCATAGTCTAATTCACTTTTCAAACTATGTATTTCTTCAATAAAAAAATAAAAATTAATTGAAAGATAAACTATGGTACATCCATCTTTATAAATGGGAGACAGTGTTCCAAGGAGAAGAAATAGCAAGTGCAAAGGCCCTGAGGTACGTCTGGGGAACAGAAAAGAGGCCAGTAGGGTTGCAGGATGATGGGCAATGGGGAAAGTAGGGTGAGATGAGGTTGGAGAAGTAGGCAAGGGCTTGTAATGTAGAGCTCTCTTGGTAAGGGTAAGAAATCAGGATGTGTTTGTGTGTTTCCTGCAGCACATTAAAGGCCTGAGCCTTGAGATGGCCAGGTAGACAGCAGGGAAGGGTGCTGCAGACGGTGGGCAGGACTTGCGTGAAGACCATGAGCCAAGGACACCGCACAGATGTCACTCACCTTCCCACCTCCACAGGGCGGCCTGGGACGTGTCCTTCCACTGCAGGCCCGCCACGAAGGGCAGCCGCCCATTGTACTGCACCTTCAGGTGTGTGCTGGTCTCCACGTGGGGGTGGCGGAGGCTCAGGTGGTGCAGCTGCATCCGGTAATCCACCTGCCTCTCCAGCACCTGCAGCACAAACTGGAGACCCACACCCACGATGCTCACCAGACCCAGTGCCAACTACGATGCTGCTTCCAGCCTACAACATTCCACTGGCTCTCCACTGCAGCCTGAGCCCGCTGGCTACCAGGAACTGCCCCAGCCCACACCCAGAAGAAACCCTGCACCCATCAGCAGTCACTCCCCATTGCCTCCTTCCCATCCACTCCAGAAACCTACTGTTTCTATTAATTTACCTCTTCTAGACATGTCTTACAAATAGAATCATATACTATGTGGCCTTTGGTGTCAGGCTTCTTTAACACGGCATGATGCTTTCAAGGTTCATCCACATTGTAGCATGTGTCAGAATTTCATTTCTTTCTTTTTAAATTCTATTTATTTTAATTGGAGGATAATAATTACTTTACAATGTTGTGTTGGTTTGTTGTATATCAACATGAATCAGCCATAGATATACATATATCTCCTCTCCCTTGAAACTTCCTCCCACCTCCAAATCCATCCCACCCCAGAACTTCATTCTTATTACTGAATAATATTCTATTGTATGGATAAATATATTTTATTTGTCAACTTATTCATTGATGAACATTTGGGTTGTTTCTACTCTGGGGTTATGAATAAAGCTGCTATGAAGGTTCATGTACAAGTTTTGTGTGGACGTAAGTTTTCAATTCTCCTGAGTATCTAGGAGTAGAATTGTTGGGTCATACGGTAACGCTGTGCTTAATATCTTAAAGAAATATAAAACTCTTTTTTCAACAATCACACCATATTATGATGCTACCAATATGAGTCTTAATTTCCCTGTATCCTCATGAACACTTGTTAGTTTCTTTCTTTTTTCATTTCAGCTATTCTAGTGGTGGGCTTCCCAGGTGATGCCAGTGGTAAAAGAATCCAGCTGCCAGTGCAGAAGACTCAAGAGACATGGGTTCGATGCCTGGGTCGAGAAGATCCCCTGGAGTAGGAAACAGCAACCCACTCCAGTATTCTTGCCCGGAAAATTCCATGGACAGAGGAGCTACACTCCATGGGGCTAAAAAGAGTCAGACACAACTGAGCAACTGAGTACCGCCTGCTAGTGGTAGCATCTCACTGTGGTCTTGATTTAAATTTCTCTAATGATTAATTAGCTTAAGCAACTTTTCACATATCTACTGGCCACTTGTGTACCTTCTTTGGAGAAATATCTACTCAAATCCTTTGTCATTTTCATGTTGAGTTGTAAGTGTTCTTTATATATTCTGGATACAAATCCTCTATCAGATATGATTTGCAGATGTTTTCTTCCATTATGTGGGTTGTGACTTCACTTTCATGATGGTGTCCTTTGAAGACAAATTTGGGGTTTTTTTCCTGTTGTTTTTTAAATTTTTATTTACTTATTTTTGACTGCACTGGGTCTTTGTTATAGCCTATGGGCCTCTCTAGTTGTGGCATGTGGGCTTAGTTGCCATGTGGCAAATGGGATCTTATTTCCCCGATCAGGGATTGAACCCCCATCCCCTGCATTGAAAGGTGGTTTCTTAACCACTGGACCTTCAAGGAAGTGCCAGGTTTTTAAGTTTGATGAAATTCAGTGTATTTTTGTTGTTATACTTTCCACTGTCGTATCTCAGAAACCCAAGGTCATAAAGATTTCCTTGTATGTTTTCTTCTAAGAGTTTCATGTTTCTTAAATTTAGGCCTATGACCTATTTTGAGTTAGTTTTTATATATGATATGAATTGTCCAACTTCATATTCTTAAACATGAATATTCAGTTGTCCCACATCATTTGTTGAAAAGATTGTTCTTTCCCTTCTATAATTACCTTGGCACCCTTGTTGAAGATCAATTAACTGTAAGTACAAGGGCTTATTTTTTAATTCCGGGTTCTATTCTGTTGGTCTGTTTGTCTATCCTTATGCCACTACCATAATACTCTTAATTACTGTAACTTTGTAGTAAGTTTTGAAATTGGCAAGAGTGAATCCTTCAAGTTTGTTCTTTTTCAAGACTGTCGTACCTACCCTGGGTCCCTTGAAATTCCATATGAATTTTAGGATCAGCTATCAAAAAGATAGTGCAGATTTTGATAGGGAGAGATAGAGATGGTTGAATCTGCAGATCAATTTAGGAAGTCTTGTAAACTTCACATTAAATATTCTAATTCAAGTACATGAGATACCCTCCCACTTATTTGGGTTTTCTTTAGTTTCTTTTTTTAATTTATTTAATTGGCGGCTAATTACTTTACAATATTGTGGTGATTCTTGCCATATATTCACATGAATCAGCCATGGGTGTACAAGTGTTCCCCATCCTGATCCCCCTCTTACCTTCCTCCCCCTTTCTTTAGTTTCTTTCAAAAATGTTTTGTAGTTTTTGAGAGTATTCATTTTATATTCTTTTGTTAAATTTACTCCTAAGTATTATTCTTTTTATGCTAGTGTAAATGAAATTATTTTAATTTCTTTTTCAGGTTTTTCATTGCTAGTGTAGAGAAATACAACTAATTTTTGTATATTAATTCTGTATCCTGCAACTTTGATGAACTCATTTATGAGCTCTAATAGATTTTTTTTTTTGGTGAGTTCATTCAGTTCATTCACTCAGTTGTGTCCGATTCTGTGCAACCCCATGGACTGCAGCACACCAGGCTTCCCTGTCCATCACCAACTCCCAGAGCTTACTCAAACTCAAGTCCAGGGAGTCAGTGACGCCATCCAACCATCTCATCCTCTGTCATCCCCTTCTCCTCCTGCCTTCAGTCTTTCCCAGCATCAGGGTCTTTGCTAGTGAGTCAGCTCTTTGCATCAGGTGGCCAAAGTACTGGAGTTTCAGCTTCAGCATCAGTCCTTCCAATGAATACCCAGGACTGATCTCCTTTAGGATGGACTGGTTGGATCTCCTTGCAGTCCAAGGGACTCTCCAGAGTCTTCTCCAACACCACAGTTCAAAAGCATCAATTCTTCGGCGCTCAGCTTTCTTTGTAGTCCAACTCTCACATCCATACATGACTACTGGAAAAACCACAGCTTTGCCAGCTTTGTTGGCAAAGTAATGTCTCTGCTTTTTAATATGCTGTCTAGGTTGATCATAGCTTTCTTTCCAAGGAGCAAGCAACTTTTAATTTCATGGCTGCAGTCACCATCTGTAGTGATTCTGAAGTCCCCCCAAAATAAAGTCTGTTTCCATTATTTCCCCATCTATTTGCCATGAAGTGAGGGGACCAGATGCCATGATCTTAGTTTTCTGAATGCTGAGTTTTAAGCCAACTTTTTCACTCTCCTCTTTCACTGTCATCAAGAAGCTCTTTAGTTCTTTGCTTTCTGACTTAAGGGT